TGGTTCTACAAGCTACTGAATCATAAGGCACACTTACTTTTTCACACATGGCTTCTCCATTTTGGCTTTTTTTTTTGTAAAATAAATGACAACATGGTGTAATATGTCATTTGTTGTTGTTCATCTGGGGTTATATTTACCTACTTTTGAGAACTGCTAAGGACCAGATGATTTTTATTATGTCCTGATATGTAAAACCATAGAACTCAAAGCGGGTATATTTTCTTTTTGGGGTTATATTTACCTACTTTTGAGAACTGCTAAGGACCAGATGATTTTTATTATGTCCTGATATGTAAAACCATAGAACTCAAAGCGGGTATATTTTCTTTTTCACACGACTGTAAGTTGAGGACTACCTATATATCTTATAATCCTTTCTTCCTTATACATATACCATTGCATGTCTTATCTTGTTATTTTCTTGCTGTAGTTGGTTGGATCATAACTGTCATAATCTCAATCAAACCCTAGTATGATTTCAGCAAGTACTAGGCTCAATCCAAGTTAGGATAGTTTTACATTTTTGCAGTGTCATATAAATCCTAGTACTTTTTATGTATCTATTTACAGTTATCTACCTTAATTAATTATAGCACTTAGACTATAGATTGTAATTTTATAGATTTCTATGTGGTTTTAATCCATATACTTTGTAATTTTTTGCTAATAATTCTTATTTTTACTTTATTTTATTCTATTAATATGATATTTTATTTTTACTGCTATTTTAGCATGATTGTTATGTTGTCTTATGCTGGTCTATAACTAAAATAAACAATAAACAAACAGATCAATGACCCAATTGGAAATTGTGTCTACAATGCTATTCCTGTGAAACACGAGTGCAAAAAAAAAATAAAAAACCTAATACAGTCACATTTGATTTAAAAGGAATAAATTTATCTAAATAGTAAAGTTTTAAAAAAAGAAAAATTGAAAGAAAAAGAAGAGGGTTAAGTCTTCAGAGGTTACAGTATTTAAAAAAAAAGTCATCATACGGAAAGCGTAAAATTGAAAGCATACATGGGAAATTGAAAAATAAAAAAAAATCAGAGGTTACAGTATTTAAAAAAAAAAGTCATCATACAAGCTAACAAGAATATATTGAAGGTAAAACTAGGGGTTGGAGATTCATTTGTGTCAAGCTTAAGTCCTGGTGTTTATAGTATAGGGACCCATCCATGTAATTTTGGGGGGAGCAATGTGGAAGTCATTTGCCATTGCCTTTTTCCAGGATTTTTTTTTATTTTTCAATTTCCCATGTATGCTTTCAATTTTACGCTTTCCTGATGGTCTCAAGGTTTATCCAGGTCCAACACAGCCAAGCTCTTTGGGGGATTCAAGCAATGTTAGCTAGAGGCTGCCACATACAAGCTTCCATTCAGGAAACGTGCTACCAAATCCAAGAGAATGCTAGGATAGTAAGAAAAATCAGAGAATATGATGTAGACAAAAAACCCTGAAGTCTTACCCAATGAGGACAACAAAAATAAACAAAATTTCACAAAACAAATGTCAATACCAAACAAAGAATTTTTAAAAAGGCTTGAAAAGCATATGGCACATATATATATAACTAACCAAAATACTTTAAAATATATTCAGAGCAAGAAATTGGGGAGTTGGTGGACTGTCAGACAACAGATATACTGAAGGAAGGAATGAAATTGGAAGATGTAAGACAGATGCCTGAACTTTCTAATGCAAACAGAGGTAACAAGATGAAATCACAGGCCTCAATGACAAATCATAAATAAATAAATCACTGGCTCCAGACAATATCCACTCAAGAATACTGGGTGGATACTCAGTTTTTAATACAGTAAAAACAAACGTGAAGTTGCTGAATTTGTAATGCCAATATTCAGCTTTTCCCTTGCAAAGATCTTTGACTCTGAGGACTGGGAAATAAATAACCTAATCCCTTTCCTTGTTCTTTTTCCCCCTGCATTCTTATGCATTCCCAAATGCATATAATGTACTCCATTCTTATTCTGTTCAATATCTGAGGGAAAAGAAACAAAAGCATGTCACCCACTATTCAACCTTCAGCAATTTAGGTGTGCCAGATGTAGCAAAGAGAGATGAGCTAACAGAGGAACCAGGGATTCTATCCAGGGCTTAGAAGCAGAAAATCACCCCAGTCTCGCTCTGGGTATTGAGCCCTGAGCTCAGAGGTAGCTGCCACAGGAGCAAGTGGGTGAATGGAAGCAGAGTGTGGCATCCTTGCATGCTCTTCCTTGTGGGGGGCGGGGGAGGCAGTAGCCTAAATGTCTGCATGCTCCTTCAGAATGAAGCCAGCTGGAAGAATAGAAAACATCAAATTCAGTCTAGACAGGGAGTCCTGGGCTCAGGGCATATTCCCTGCAGGGTTCTGGCACTCAGGGTCTGCTTGTTGTTTTCTTGAAGGACCCAGAGTTGGGTATACTTCAAAGAAAAACTTTGTATGAAGTATGAAGATACCTAAAATGCATCACAAGAACTCATCAAACCCTAACTGGAGTTGGATGGCCAATAAATTTAAAATAACAGCAACTTTAAAAATTGATATTATAAAATTAACATGTACGACACATGTTCAGTTTCTACATTCTCCCTCAAAAGAAAATCAAATAAAAGAGGGTGGCACTGAAAGGATAAAATGCATTTTAGTAGCAAGAGAGCAAGCCCATGTTAAAAGTGCATTTCTTTCAAATAAACAAAGGGATACAGCTTTGGGGTTTGTGTTCCTGCCTCATAACTGCATTTTAGTTATCTATGCATTTTAATCTAGATGCTCAAGTAATATTGAATATATTAGTAATGTCATCATGGCAATCTATAGACCAATTAATTTTGCTGTATCACCAATTGCAGTTGAAATAGAGTTGTTTCTCAAAGACCACCTAGTAAGTCAATCTGTGAATTGAAATCAGGATTTGTAACAAGTCGCACATGGTCTTCTACAACGGCGGTTAAGAAGATGCCCTACAAACATACATGCACTGAATGCACTACACACTGTGAGAAATACTGGTGTGATGAAGTACCCACTTTGGTGAGTTCACAGGTCAAGTAATAGAAGAGCTCAAAATGGCCTCTTTTGAGCTCGCAATACTTGCTTCAAATTCGAAACAGGTTGTTCCAGCATTACTGGAAGCATCCCCGTACTGTTCCAGCCACTCCAGAAGCATTTCATGCTCAGTATTTGTGTTCAGAATGGGTGTTTGGAGCTTGAAATGGGGATGTCTGAAGCTTCAAGTACTTGCAAATTGGTCAAAACAGCATTGGGATATCACAGAAGGGTCAGAACAACTTATCATGAACCTGAACTAGGGCATTTTGAACTTGAACCTGCGCATCCCCACTCAGAATGCTTTGAATTCAATACATTTTTCTTGAGGCATAAATGCCAGCACTGCCTGTAAAGGAGGAGAAGAATTAAGTAACAGGTGATAAGGAAAATGCCTGAGACACTAGAAAGGAGAACTAACCATTTCTGTCTTTCCAGGGGATATTACTGTATAGTAGCAGCTATGCAAAATGGGTAGTTTTCTCTCTGCAATTATCAGCAATATTCTGAGAACAGAGTGCATTATTACATCAATCTTTTCTGCACTTCTAATGTTTGGATCTCCAGAAAGTCATTTTCACACATCAACATCATGGACTTCATCTTTAACTAATGAAAGAACATCCAGTATTAGCACGCTTTAAATCTGAGCTTAAAACTGTTACAAAGAAGGATGATAAACAGCACAGAGGGAGCTGCTCTCTGCCATTCTCAGAGAAATGAACAGACTTTTTCTTTCTTTTTCGCGTCCCTAGGATGTTGTAAACAATTCATGTTTCAAATGCCATCCATTGTATTCCATTGGATGGAGACAAATAGAAGATGGTACTTCAGTCTCTTAAACTGTTACCAACGGGGTCACCGGGCTGAAGGTTCAGCTCTTTTCCCGTTTCTCTTCCAGACCCTTGCAGTCAGCCCCTGAAGCAAGGGGCTTGCAACTCCACTTTATATCGAGATGCTCTTTCGAAAGCAGTGAAAGAAATAAATGTACAGAAAATGGAGGATTTAAAGCTTTGCAAAGGCTGTGTTTTGGCCTTTTGGAAACTGACCCCAAAAGCAAACATGATGAACCCTCCACATCTGGATCTGTTAAAAAAGGTTTCCATTCGTAACTTTTTTTTAGGCTGGTACAGCAAATAAGAGTTGAACTGCTAAAAGCAAAGGAGACTACTGAAGGCTTACCTTACTTTGCAGGAGGGGCAGATCTGCTTTCGCCAACAGTGCCCAGAACTTGCTGGGACTCCCCCCACACTTCTTTTTATCTTTCTTCTGAAGTTTCTCCGACTGCCCTGAGTCCTTCAGCTGAGCTATGCAGTCTTTCAAAAAAAAAAAAAAAAGTGCGTGGGGAGGGTTGTCTGCAGCCTGAGGAGGCGGGACGTGTGGGGGGGGGGAGGATGCCCAGAGCGTCCACTGCCTCGCTAGAGCCTCTGGTTTGTTTTTTATTGCCCCCCAGAGCATTCGTCACAGAATCCAAGAGCTGTTTCTGCAGCTTTGGAGCGGTTCTTTTAGAGCAACAAGAAGCCCTTGCCAGGAATGAGTGTTTGTGGTTGTTGTTTTAATCCTACTTTTGGTTCAAACTTTTTGGATCGTACTCACAGAGAGGGACAGAAAGGATGGAAAAGAAAAAGAGAGAGAAAAGAACAATTTTGCTTCTTTCCTTTCTGGAAGAGAGAGGCAAATTGGGGTGGAGGGTGTCTTCAAGTAACTTCAACTTGGAGATGCAACAAACGCCCAAAGAGGCGGCAGGGCGGAAAGCAGGACAAAAAAAGTCGGAGGAAAGCCACTGTGAACGGTCCGAATTCTGTCCTCCAAGCAAAGCAATCCCAACTGGATCGGTGCGTGCGTGTCTGTGTATGGTGGAGAGATCTACCGTCCCATTCAAAACTGGACTTTTAAGGGCTGCGCGCTCTCAACGACATCTCTCTCTCTCTCTCTCTCTCTCTCTCTCTGGTGTGAATGCCTGCTTTCGATTCTGGCCTCCCCCTCCTACCAGCCTCCATCTTT